GTCCAGCTGTGCAGATTTTGGCTGCTGGCTATGATAAAGCTATACTTTCTCATCACTGATTTAGATTCCCTAGCCCAAAGCTACCTTTGTGGACTAAGAACTGAAAAAGTTGTAGGTTTAAATAAATGAGTCAGTTTCTTGTGCTAGGAGGATAATTAAGATCATTAAACACTTATAATACATGAAGCTTGAAAGGAACAGATTAAGAGTGTGACATGCTCTTTGGAGAGTCCACAAAATCTCCTTTCTCATTTTCTGTGGTAGCCCAATCTCCATTTACATGAAGAGGAAAGATCCACCCATCCACACATACTCATTTGACAAAAAATAATTACAGCTGGCAATTCTCTGTCTTGTTCAGCTATGCAGTCATTTCCCTCATAACTATTATTACACAATTAAGCTTCAGAAAACCGTGGTGAGGGAATTAATGGTCCTCTATTGATCACTCTGGTTTTTAATAAGAGGCAGCCACTCCCAGGGTGAAACATTCACAGTACACCCACTACTATGTGACAATCTGGGACAAAGGAAGGAGAATTCATTATTCAGCTGAACCTCCATGAATAGGAAGAACAGAAGGAGCTGGGATTTGGCTGAAGCCTGTTCCAGGACCCTATTCATACACAAAGACCTGGGGGATATTAAGGGAGAAATACACCATAATTATGGCTGCAGATTTTTTGAGTCATCAGAGAATTAGCACCTGCAGCAGCCCAATGACAAGTCCACCATTTTGTGGTGTTGAGGCTTGACTTGAGAACAAAACCAGTCCCTTGTGTACCACAGCAGCATTTCCAGAGGTGTTTCCTCTGGTAATTCAAGCACTCTTTGTCAGAATCTTTGATCATGGGAAGAGGTGACATTATATAAAAATGTTTTTGCACCTATTGGAGATCTTCAAAGCTATGTCAGGTGCAAATAAAGAGGAGGCCACCACAGCATCTAGAGAGGAATGTGTCTGAGTACATGAGGGAAATGTCCTTTTTTTGCCTCATTTGTGCTGCAAGAAAAGGACTGGGGGATAGGATGTGACATAAGCAACTACTGGTGCTCTTTGCACTGTGAATCCTCTGAGAACAGGATCTGTGGGTCAGAGGGTTGTTTTTGTTTTAGGAACAGACTCAGGTTCTGACATTGGCTCCCACTGCTCTAGTGAGCTTGCAATGGCCATACAAGATATGCAGTAGAAGAATCATAACAAGAATCCCTTTCTATTTGGAAGCATTTGTTACTCATATGTTTTTTCCTATTGAAAAGACTATTCAATCCCTCTTTATATTTTCCACTTTTCCTTTTAACAGGGATTTATTTTATTTTATTTTATTTTATTTTATTTTATTTTATTTTATTTTATTTTATTTTATTTTATTTTATTTTATTTTATTTTATTTTATTTTATTTTATTTTATTTTATTTTATTTTATTTTATTTTATTTTTTTAAATTTTATTATTTTTATTTTCTAGAGGGCTCTTTTTATACTTTATAGGCCTTTCCCCTCCTTTCTCGTCTCCTGTTATGGCTCAGATGTCATGAGATATTTTAAATATCTTCTTTTTCAGTCCACTTCTGATCCTATTATCAGTCTCATCTCATAACATATTAAAAAAAAACTGGACTCTTTTCTCTCTCCTCTTGCAGACTACTTCTATGGAAATGTATCTGCTTCACAAAAACATCCAACAGCCTACAATTTCTCCTGAAATTAACCTAGAAAGTATCCCAAAAAACCAGATTCCTTTTTGTCAGTACTATTCTTGAGTGCCTAAGATTCCTGTCTGTGATGCTGACAAGCATTTCTTGGAATATTTCTGATATTTGAAATCAGACAGGGCAGGCAACTAGGAATTCTATAGCTGCAGGAAAATATTGCTTCATAATCAGAAACACAGTTCTTCCTTTTTAAACTAAAGAGGTCCCAGGATATGAAGTCTTAAATCTATGCCATTATTCTACACAGGAAAACAACTTTAAGCAAGTTCTAGAGCTCTATTTATTGTACAGAAAGCTTTTACTTCCTGCTTTTGTCTAAATTTTATTTTATTTTCCTCATGAATGGATGTATGGATAGATTTACTTTGGGGTCTTGAATTTTTAAGGTATGAAAATATTGCACACTGTTTAAATGCAATCTCTCAAAAACACTTATATGCTTGTATTTTGAAGGAGAGGAAAATTGTATAAAAGGTAGGTTGCTTCCATGGAAACATGTTTCTGGCACTCTTTTCTAATCAATGACTTTGTGAACCCTGAAGTTATGATGAAATAGCTCTGCCCTCATCCTTTCCTTGGTCTGCCTTCAGTTCTTTTTTTTGTGTCAGGCTTCCTGACTTCACCTCTCCAGGGTAGAGGCAGGATTTCACGATTCTTTAATTTTTGCTGGGCTTTGGGACACTGTGTCTGTAGTTACTGTGCCAACACAGGCAGTCTGAATGGATTTGCAACTTTTCTTTTAGGGAGTCTGAGAATACTCCACTTCATTAAAAATAGAATGGTATTTAAATATTTAATCATAAATAGGAAAACTTAAATATTTCAAATAAATGGAATTTAAAATAACACTCTACATGCATATTTGTCCTGCCTCAAGCTTTCCCATCCATTCATGGGAGAGCAACCAAAACCCATTTTCTCTGAAAACTACAGAGCCTGCATCCCCAGCCTGCTCAGACATACATCTTGTCTGCTCTGAATCAGATCTCTTGATCTTTCCTCAGCCTTTTTTCCTGTGCCTGCTTGGGCTTTGCCGTTTTTGATGAGATGCATTTTTCAGACTGGCCATAGCATCAGCAGACTCTCCCAGGCCACCAAGATGGACATTAACATTTTATACAGCTCACCTGCTCCTGAGAGACACTCCCCTGTCAAACATTTTCTGACCATTTTTCCTTGAAGTAGATTTATTGAACTCACCTAGTTCTGGACCGATAGTCGACTCAACATGTTGTATTCATAAATTATTACAGAGCAGCTCCACTTTCATCACAGCAGCTCTGTGACTTCCTGCAGATCCAACTTCCCAAACATACTGCCTTGATTTATTTTTCAGGGAGTCATAATTTCTTTTGCACAGGAGGGAGCTTTGGTGTTCTGGCAACCTGTATGACCTGTGTTTATATGTGTTAGATATATTTTGACAATGTTGGCACTGAGGATCTTCAGTAGCATCCATGTGGCTCAGCAACACAGGCTTAGCCACAGAGTGCTGTAAGAAATGTCCTCCCTTGGATCAGCAGGGCACAAAACTTGTCCTTAGTGCCAGCAAAACGAATAGTCCTTATGATGGCAGAGTGCCAAATCAGTTTTTCCTGTTCTGCAAACTAAATGTGCTTTCTGCCCTTCCAGGGGACTGAGCCCCATGTAACACAGGAATGGCAGTCTACACTAGGGTGGAAAAAAATTCACATGGCAATAGCAGAGGCATGGTTCTCTCTGAGCCTGTAAAGGTTTCCCAGCAACAGCAACATTGTAGAGGTGCTATCAGATAAAACATAAAATCACAGCCCTGAGCACTTGCTATCATCAAGCGTCACTTAGCACTCAGCACAAGACTGAAGGTGTTAGTTCCATTTTCCTGACCAGATTCCCTTGTGAAATTCAAATCCCACCTGCAGCTTCACTTTCTCTTAGATTTTTAGCTCCTGGTTTCATGCATGCTGTTAAAAAACTACCATTTTCTAGGGTTAAGGAAAAGCAAAATTGTGCAGGAGATATTTATTCATCCAGATGAGTAAACGAAAGACACTTTTAGAAGTTAAGGTATTATTTGCCTTGGAAAAGGCAAATGGCTGTAATCAGCACCCCAATTAACTCCTGTGCTTAATTCTGATGCTTCTTCAGGAACGTGCTTCTTTTGTCCTGTTTTACAGCAGAGAAAGAAAGGACAAGTGGTAAAACTATTGGAATTATTATCAGTTTCAGGAGGAAGGTTTCCATTTCACATCATTTGCCGTTGCAAGGAGAAGCCTTGTGTCTACTGCCACATTTTCCTTCATTTTCCCTAACTCTGTGGTCTGCTCTGTGCCATAATTTAGCTGTTTTCAGAGAGCTCAGTTTAGTCTGGCAAGCCTCAGAAGCTAAATGAATCTCCAGTTAAACCGAGTCTCTGGTGTGGTGTGAACGAGAGAGAAAATGTCCCATCAAAACATGCATTAATATTTCTGATATATATGGTATGTTTTATCCATATTTTTGGATGGTCTGACACATACTACATGAGCTTTTTCCAGAAGTCACCTCACTGTTTGATTAACATGTATGTCATATTTTAACATCTACCGAATTTTCAAGCATGTTCATTCATAGAAATAATATCATGTGAACTTTTCAGGTCAAGAAACTGTCACTCAGTACAGATTTGTCAAGTGTTTATGGTGAACTGAAACGTATTTCTGATTAGGTGTGGGTGTTCTGTTGTAACAGAAGTGCTAAATAATAGTGATTGTACATCCAGCAAGTGCAAGTTCTTGTATGTGCAAACCTAGGTTTTTGCATGCTTGAACAAGGTGATTTTCAAACTTGACAGGCACATTTATGGATTTCTGAAAAATTTTACATTTTCAGGAGAAGAACTCTATTACTGAGTTCTGAAATACCCTTCTTTTAAGTGTTTGCTCACTCAAAAAATACAGTCAAATGATTTTAGATGTATAAAGCCTGTTAAATTAATGGAGTATAATAAAAAGTTAGTACATATAAAAGTTTATAAAAAAGAGTAGCAAAATAATCTTGGAACTATACTATCATGTGTATGTTGTACATCATCATGTTAAAAAAAATTTAAAAGGATTGCATTGAATCCAATTAAAAAGCTGAGAAAGAGGAGAGAAGGATGGATCAAATGAGTCTTTTAACTAAACTTTTCCTTAATATTGCTCCAAAAATGCATCCACAGAAAGAAATTAGGTAAGTAATTGCTTTTTCCCTTGAAAAAAACCAACCCAAAGAAAACATTTATTGTTGGCTCAATAATTTCTTAAAAAATATTGGAAGTGGTGGTGATTCTTTAAGAAAAAATGTATAATTTTGTTACTTAAATATAAGAAGCCTAAAGAATTACATTTATTGAAGAAGAAATTTTGCAGAGGAAGTTGCTGGCCACTTTATCCCTTACCAATATTCATATTCCTAAGCCCAGCACAGACAAAAGATGGTGAGGAAAGAGAAGGTTTCTTGCTGGGAGGGTGAGGAGAAGGGCCATGTCTGCAGGACTGTAAAATGCTGTGATCCAAAGCTGGGGACATGGAATGCAGTACATGACTTAAATCTTAGTGAGCTTGTGCTCACCTGTGCAGTGTGAAAGTACAAAAAAAGCCAGGCCGTGCAAATACAGTTCTTATTAAGTACTGGTGCTGTTTCCAGCAAACAGCTTCAATAAAAATATTCAAAAATAACTCAGGCCTTTAGGGAAGGAGGCTTTTCTAACTGTTGTATAAGTAATACAGTATATTTTAAACCAGCCTTTTGCCACATTTGATTTTTCCCAAATTAGGGTAATGCATGAGATGTGGATAAGCAGAAAAAAAAATCAGGATGGGAGCAAGGAACTTGCAACTTCTCCAGATTTCCAAACCAAAATATTTAAAAATAATAATTTAATAAAGATATACATTGAGCAACATATTCCGTGACTTAAACTGTGCTAACTTTTTCCTTGGTGCTTCTGTGATGCCACTGAGAGCAACTTGTGAACCAGGCTCTAAAGCCAATGGATGGGTTATACTAAGTACATATCCTGTCTTTTGAGATAGTTAAGGAAACAATGGGGAAAAAAATAATCTTTTTCACTACTTCTATTAATCACTGCTAAGGGAGTAAATAGAATTTCTTAGGGCATGATTTTTAGAATTAGATGTCCAGATGATTTTGCAGCCTGATTTCTCCTAGATGCAGAGCACCTATCAGTCAAGTTTAGACACAGAAGTCATTCACTATTGTTATTAACAATACCAAAAATAACACAACAGGGGGGCACAAACCAAGCCTTTGGTATCTGACAACAATTAAAATTTAAGAAAATGAGTCTTGAAATACCTTACTACCTATGATGAGACATACAGGATACTCATAGAGAACAGTAAAATAGGTAAAAATACGTTGCTCATTGCTGAACACTTATGCTACATTTGATCATGAATTTGTTCACTTTTTGGATATTAGGTGCAAAAAAGTGCAAAGAATATTTAGTTAACTGTTACAGTACCACATTACAAAAATTATTTTCTAGGCCACAAAGGCCACTGTTGATATAATTCATATTAAGTAAATGCATACATAAAATATTTTTTCAATCTCCATATATATATATATATATGTATGTTTCTATATCAGCCTTGCAGAATAATGTTGAAAATGATCTAGGCCACAGAATTTTGTTAGGATAACAATGATGGGAGGGAAAAAAAGCCTCACAGAGGAGAGTTTGTTCTCCTATTAAAAAAATTATTCATCCAGAGCAAATGGAGGAATGAAATTCTGCAAGGCTGCTCTGTATTTGTGGTGATGAAAATACAATCTTAAGCAGGGAGGATCAGTGTTCAGCATTACCAATCCTCTCTGAGAGAAACCATTTCTGCCTCGAGGCCATGAATAACAACCTGAAACAGGCATTCAAACACTTGGGCTGGAACATTTTCTTTTTTCCCTTTTTTCTTTCTTTTTTTTTTTTCCTTCTTTATTTGTTAAGACTGTCTGAGAGATTGTTTTTTATATTTATTTGCTTGCTTGCTGTGTTCATAGGCACAGGAGGCAAGGTATAAAAGCTGCCTCCTTTTGTGACTTAGATACACCTGTAATGTTAAGACCAGTCCTGCTAGATTTTCTGGAGCAGTTAAGACACTGCAAGGTATTTTTGTCTGTCTTAGAGATTAGTCAGTGGCATGGAGGGACTGGATCCTCAGGAACATATTCTCTGTCAGCCAGGCTAAACCAACTCAAAATGGTTCTTCAGAAGTTTGCCAAAATGACCTTTTCCCTTCACATCCAGATTAATTCTCAACATTTCTGTCATTAATCATTAATCAATATTCCTTTGGTGCTTTTCTCCTGAATGATACTTCTGTAAAAATTCTGCTTTGGAAAACACTGTCTCCTCAGTTTTCTTTATATATATTGCAAAGCTACAAAAAGTGCCACTACCCAACTTCTTCCTAATTACAGTCCAGCTTTCAAAACCTCAGACCCAATCATGTCAAAAAGAAAGGAAAAAGGAAAAAAGAAAGTAACTATCTGATTTATCTGACTGAGGTAAACTGCAGTGCTTAGAGATAAATCCACAAAGTAATATGTAGTTCTCTTCTGGTTTTTAAAATATCTGACTACAGCCAATAGATTTTTGCATTTGTTGTCATTTTGTATTCTAATAAATGAGTTTACTTGCTTGTAAAACACATTTCAATTTCTTTCTCCATAGACTGACAGAAAACACATCTCAAATTCATATTTAGCATATATGTCTAGAGGCATCCAGCCAGCAACCAGAAACTAAATTTCATGTGTGCTGTGCACTCAGTCAAAATAACTTCAAAGAAATCTAAGTCTGTCACATTAAATCAAGAATCACAAAAACGTTGTGGGTAACTGAAATATCTGGTCAATTTTGTGAAGAGATAAATCACATTAAATCAATTCCTTTACTTCTGAGTATTCTGTCCTCTGCAGTTTGGCTGTTTGTAGAGATGCAGCTGTCATTGTGAGTGCTGGGGGGGTTATAGCTGCATAGATCCAGTTCTCATACCTGTTTCATAAGGGCTGGACTAAAACCCACTGAAGTCAGTAGATCCTCCTCTTTGGCTCCAGTGGGCCTTAAATCAGCCCTTCCTCCCTGCCCAAGGAATGAACTGATTTTCCAGATACTCAAAACATGACAACAGTTGGGTTTTTTAATGCAACATTAGTTTGAAGTGTGATCTTGCGAAGTCATAGAGGATTTAGTGCAATTTAGAAGGAATTTACTACATGAACTGTACCTAACTGTTTGCTCTTTTTCAAGAGAATTAGCTGCTAAAAGCTGCAGTAGTTTTGAATTGATTAAGGGATCTTTTTTCAGATTTGTTTGCCTATGAAAATGTACAGGCCCCATCAAAACACTGCTTGAATATGACACTGGACATATGCCAGAGGTAAAATAGATGAATGAATTTGCACGAGGAAGGGTTATATTTGACTCGAGTCAACTTCATTCACACATTAACAAATCTTAGAATAGGAAAGATGGATTTTGATAAAAAAATATGGATACAGTTCATCTGCAGAAGCCAAACCTTCTGTTCATGTAGATGTGAGTTACAAGGGAGCCTTGGGCACTGACCACGATGAATCCATTCTCACTCCCTAGGGCGTAAGCGGTGGTTTGGGTGAGGAGCAGGATCCCTGGCTATCGAAACTGGTCGCTCGGCCAGGTAGCTGCAAGAAAAGTGTTATTTTTACAGATGTCTTTGTATCTGGCTGTGCATCATTCTCATTTCAGAGGATGAGAGACTCTCTCAAAAAAGAATCCAGATCACATCTAGACCCTTTCTAATCTCTGGATCAAAGTTCTCTGGTGTCAAAGTCTCCAGCAGAACTAATAATGGAAAGAAAATTTCTGAAATGACTCTAAAAATGCCTCTGACTTTTTTCACAGCCGTGGGTTTATTTCACCAACAGGGGTGGTGCCTCTGTCTCCTAACGTACATGAACCACACAGAGCCATGAACCTCTAAAAGACACTTTTCTGCTGCCTTGACTCAGTTTCCTTGCTCCCACACTCTTCTTGGTGTTTTACTGGAACCTTGATATTATGCTTTTGCTACCTGTCACAGGACATGTAGTACAGCGATATGCTATACAGAGTGGGGAAATCAAATGGCCTCAGGCAGAAACTAATTTTTCTACAGAGATTGCTTTTGTGTTGGGCTAAACTGTGCCCCTGCTGCTTCCTAAGGCTTCAATATGTGTCTTTCTGAGTCCAGAGCCGCGAGGATTTTGTGTACAGAACACCAGCAATGTGTGGCCACAGCAGATCGCAGAGGGAGTCCAAGCCCAGGGACTTGTAGACATAATCACCCCCTACATTTGAAAAAGCTTCCAGTAAGCATCTGTTGAATAACTCTGGAGGGAGCTGCTGGTATGTTGCCACAATTTAGCCTAATTTGCAGGCCAGTTCCAGATTAATGTTTTAGCAACAGCAGCTTGTGCTAAAGATTTTTGAATAGGAAATAATTGCTTTTGAAATTTTTGCAAATGATCTCCTCTAAGTAGCTGTAAGCTCTTTATCTTAACCTCTGGAAATTTTAAATGTCTAAATGTAATCTTACAATGCCTTCAGAGTGTCATGGAAACTGTTGGAAAGGGTCTTTTAAGTGTATGCAAATAGATTTAGGCTGTGCTAATGATCTTCTAACTGATCTATAGGTACTGCACCGATTTTCATGATTCTCAGAAGTCCGTAAATGTGAGGGACAAAAACATTCAGTATCAAAGAGAAAATTTTGCTACTTTTTACCTCTACTAATGGGTGCCAGTGAGTTATTGGTTTACGTGGGTAAGCCAACATTTCATTCCAATGATCTCTTCCAAGGCCTTCGGCATCAATTCCTGTCCGGCATACTCCAATGACCTCATTGTGCCCTACTCTGAGAATTGTAGAAAGGGAAAGAATTGATTTTTAATAAAAAATTGTTTTAATAACATCTGGTATACAATTCTGTTTACTGGTTTGGTGTGGCACAGAATACAGGACCCAAGTTTTCACATCATTTATTATATATATTAGTTTTGATGGTAGTATAGTAATATTAAACTCTGTAATGGTAACATCAAAAACCTCCAGCTACTACCAGAGTGCTTCTAGCAGCTATAAAAAAAGCAATGAAAACATAATCCTTGCCATTAAAAGGTTACAACCCAAAAGCCACAAGGACAGAAAAGGATCTTAATACACAAATTTATCTGAAGGAAAACATGTTTGAATTTTGTGGGAGAGGAAGGTGAAGAAAAATGGTGGGGAATACATTTCCTGCTGCAAATGTTTCAGACATAATTTCATAAACTATTTCTCAGCTCTAGCTGCTGTGATCTTTGGAAGTTCAGTAAAAAATGTGAAAGGCAAGAGTCTTAGCTGTAATAGGCCATACCTTAATATTTTGTGCTCCTCACAGTGCCATAAACTGGTTGAGGAACACCAGAAAGTGTATTTTTCTGTACCTTGACTCTGTGTACCTTAGAATAATGCTTTCCAATTTCCCCTTAGCAAGTGTTGGGAAAGGAGGAGCTCAGGGGGGACTGAAAGTGTGCAAGCTGCTGTGCTCCTTCCCTGCTAATGGCACTGTGCTGCCACTCTCACGTCTGACCGAGAATGTCTTCCTGGCAGAACTTGGAGAACAACCAGAAATCTGATGGCAAGGGAAAACAGTCTGAAGGGTGATGTTACTAAACTGGACTTTCGCTGTTTATTTGTCCAGCGATCTCAAGAGCTCATCACTAATAGCACTTGAATGAAGCAGACTTGGCTCAGGCAGGATTCTGTCAGTCACTGTCTTGATCAACCTGCAGTCCTTGAGCCACTCTTAGCAAGAGTCTCTTCCTGTCAATTCTCAGTGATGCTGTAGATAATTAGCATTGGACATGTTATCAGTGAGGGCTGAACCCAAAGGTTACATATTGAAAGGTTATTTTACTGAATCAACCCAAGAATTAATTATGACTTAATTCAGTAATGTAATTAGCATTTAATTCCTTTTTAGTGATTGAAATTTTCTTTAGTTTCAAATATCTGCTATTTAAATAAAAATTAGAGGTGTGAGGGACTTTTTTAAGCTAGAAGACATACCTGATTTATAAAGTTTGTACACAGTCCAGCCCGCAGAAATGGACAGGAATGTGTATCAGGGCTAGTGGCCTGAAAGAAAATTGAGCCATATTTCTTCCTCATCTCAGTTATTTATGATACAGATAAAATGCCATGTGCTCTAAAAGGTGTGGAAGCCTCAAACCTCTTCAGGACAAGGCTCCAAGGCTTTATCTTTTGTGATGCTGAAGTTGCTTGTAAGCTCAAGGAGGCAGAAAGCAGTGGCTTGCAGTGATCAGGAATTGTCTCAGTGGTCAGCAAGTGAACTGTGCTTACCTGTCATAATCCATCACTGCAATGGAGAGGCTGACCTGGTCCACGTTCTCTGGAGGGATATCAAAGATGATGGCCTCGTTATAAATGGGATTCAGCGTGTTCTTCTTTGTGGTTGTTTTCCGCTTTTTCAGTCTCCGTCCCTCGCACATCAGTGACACTTTGACATACGGATCTGAGTAACAGAAATTCAGTTCATGCATTAGGACCCAAAGCCCTTCAAATGTGCAGCACAAAAACATTGTTTGTGGTAGGAATGTTATATTGCTAAGGTAAAAAGTTGCAAAGATTTGAGTGACCCTGGCAAACACTGCTTTCATCATGTTGTAAATGCAAAGGAAAGGTACGGGTTCTCCAGACAGCCTGGCTGCCAGACCATAGATAGGCAGTCCTTTTAAATGGGTCTGTAGCCATTCTCCTGCTACTTCCATCCCACAGCCATGTTAGACACACAAATCCCAAGATGTTAATCATCCCCTTCCTGAACAGACTCTGCCTTGTTGTTTAAAAAAAGTAGATTCACCTGATGCACCAGTTATATCCATTGCTTTGAGATTTCGACATTTGATGACTGTCAAAGTCATTCTCCCAGCAGTAGGCAAATAACAAAGGGAAAACATGATCTCACCCAAATCTATGCTTTCCTGAAAAAGAAAAGCAATTATTAGAAACCTGATCATACTACCAAAATTCAGTTCAGATGATGCAAAACTTATATTTTTTCCAAAATGGAAAGAGGCTTCCTTTGCAGCCCCAGATGCTTCTGAAGAGGTCACAAGCAATTTTCAAAAATTATTTTCATAAAGTACAGGAGGAGTAACAACAAAACTACATTTTAGGGAAAAGATCTTCAATAACTAAACCGAGAAATTAAAACAAAACCAGAGACAAAGCTATCTGGATTCCTTGTCTTTTTGTGTTGAATTCACACAAACAAAAAGGTGCTGAAAGTAGAATGTCAAGCTCTGCTCTTGAAAAAACTCATGCTCCATCAGCCCCAATAGAAAAATATCTGATGATTTCTTCTGATCTGAAGAAATATAATGAGATCAGTCACATTTACATGATCTTTAGACATTGGAATTTATGTAGGAGAATAACTTCTTCACAGGTATGTGTATAAAAAGTTAATCCTGTCTAAGTGCTTCAAAAAGAAGAACATGCTTGTGGAAGTTGCTCTCTTTACTGCTTGCAATGTGCTTTGAGACATTGCTCTGTTTCAGAAGAAAAGCAAAGTAAAGGAATAGAACATACAGCTTTCCTGGCTCAACAACAATATTTTGGAGGATAATATACTCAAAATGATAGATAGGTTCTACATGAATGTTAATAATCCTCACAAAGAGACAGGTTCTATATCGAGACCATGTGCTAAGTACTCATCCAATAGGATGTTTACATACAGTTTAGATGCTACAACACTTGAGAGATGTAACCTAAGAAAGTTTCTAACAGTTCTTATTTTTTTCTTTTCTCAGTTATACAATGATCTCAACATTGCAAAAGTTTAGGTTTTGAGATGTTTTTTATGTTCTAAAATGTTCCTGTTCTTAATTTTAAATACACCTTTGCTACCTCCCCACCCCCCCAAAAATTGAAGAACTTAGGATATGAGTTTATAAGGGGCATGTAAGGAAGACACTCTGTAAAGCAGCCACTCTCAAGCATGCTCATGTGATCTCAAAGGACTTTTTTTTTTTTTACTTATACTAAAAAACTTATTTTTGACATGTCAGCTTCAATATTCTATCTGTCAAACCTACAGTTAAGGTGAGAGTAAAAATTCACTTGAGAGCCACTGGATTTGTGGTACAGCTGTTCTAGTATTAGAAGGCAAGCATAATATATTTTTAAATGAAACATATTAAAATAATGATTGCCATGTAGATGATAAATACATTGTTTACAGTTAGACAAGACAGTGTTTCTTGTTCACATTCTTCAGTTGCTTATGTGAACAGTTTTATTGACTTCCTTCAGGCTAATACTCTGTCTAAATTGAAACAAGTATTTCACATCTTTCTTGAGTAAAGATGGACTTAATCACATGCTTTGGGGTGTGGGATTTTTTTGTATTTTGTCTTGTTATTGTTTTTTTTTTCTCCTTGCATTGCAGGCTAGATTGAAGAATACAGTTTTGCATTAGCTTTAAAGTCTCTGTTGCAGTGGTAATAAAATATTGACTTTTGTATAGGTTAGTCAATTCACATGTTCAGTCATTTTGGTGGGATGTGCACTGTGGGCAAATTTCATGCTTGTCAGAATTTCAGATTTCTCAGAATTTCAAAATGATTGAGCTCATTCAGTTCATACAGGACAATATAGAGCTATTTGACCTCTCCCTTTCTTTGCCACAAAGAGTGCAGAATTTTGTGCCACAAAGTAAATTACCAAACTCAATTTTCTATTTCAGAAAACAAATAAAAACTTTAACAAATGAATGGTAATTATCTCCACTAATTTGTTACAGCAGTAAGTGACGTTTTATATTTTACAGTTCTGACATATCTGAACACTGTTTCAAGCAGAGCATCTCTTACTGGCATTACTCACTGAGTTAAGAGTCTGATGGTTATTTCTCATATCCATGTATCAAACAGATCTCACTCTTGTGTTTGAGAAGAAAACAGAGTTCCCTGAGTTTCAGTGCTTCAGAGTTACCTAAGGTACCTATGTTGAGAAAGGCGATGAAGATGGGTTGCATCATGAAACACCATGGGTAGCTCATAAAATGATCTCATTTTTTCTTCTTCAGAGAGATGGCTTGTGTAGGTGAATAGAGAAAAAATAATTTTTGAACATGGGAGCAAGAACTTGTGTGTTCTATTATTTCTCTTTGAAGAGAAATTGGGTATACACACAAAGGTTTGTGTGAGCTCAGCTGATAAAGCAGAATACAGACAGGACTATGTACTATGACTTAAAAAGTTTAAAAGTAGCATTGCTCAAAATGCTTGCCAATCTCACTCTGTTGTTACTCTTCAGCACATTTTTGAGGGGCAGAGAAAAGCAGTTTCTTCTCTGAGTATCTGCCGAGATTGGTGATCTTCCTTCACACAAGTGTGAATGTGTGAAGTTCCGAACATTCTTTAGAAGAATTAAGATTAAAATTATGCCTATATATTATAGTGTAAGAAACTATGTACTGCATAAAATGTCTGAGATATCTCCATTTTCAAACACATATTTTTTTGTTAATTTGAGCACTAGATATCCATAAATTTGGGGCTGAAAAAAAAGATTCAGCCCTAGATTATAAATATAGTAACACTTTGTTTGGTTTGGTTTTTTTAAACTCATCATGACAGTCTTTGTTAATCACATTGAATAAGATGAGCAACATTTCTAAATTCCCTGGATCCTTAGACATTATCAATTTTAGTTGAGATTTAAATATAGGATTCAATTTAATTTAGAATCCCAGTGCTATGGAAAATTCATGTTTTTCTCACTTATAATACACTAGCTAATCAAGTTGACACAAATAATCTGACAGGAACTCTTCAGCAGAAGCAAACCTGAAGAAACCAAGGCAGAAACTGCCCCCAGCAATCACATCTGCACTACAGTGCACCTCAAACAAAACACAACTCACAAGACACAATCTTGTGGTTGTCATTTGTGCATATTTTTAAACCATCCTCAGATTGCCTTACATGAATCACATATTTTCCAAAAACTGCGCATGACTTAGATAACTCCCATGACACTTTATCTCTTTCATAGACCTATTTTGAGATTTTATTTTTCTTCTTGAACTAAATTTGGGTTTCAATTAACAGCTAGCTTTATGGATGCTTGTAATGATTGCCTCCCACTGGCTTCCAATAACAGATGCAGAAAAACCAGCATCGAGCACAGCTGCACTTATGCAAATGGAAGCATTTGTTGACACCTCATGTCTTTCACTTATTTCTCTTCTGTATCCACCAGCCATCACACAGAGCTAAGGACCTGAAACAGTGGTCAGCACTTTCCCAGCTTCAGTTACTTTCATAGCTACCATTTTACCTCTATCCCATCCATTTTCTGGAATGGTGGGTCTAGAACAAAATAAAACAAAGAAAACAGTGGTCTCGTAGGCACATATCAGTTATTCTGATGAACTCTGTGGGTTTTGAGCTACAGAATGCAGATTTTTTTACAATAGCATAATTCTCTTCCCACATTAGTAACCACGTGAATGAATGTGCTAATAATATTTTCACATTACTTCCATTAAGGATGGATCCATTAGGATCTGTTCACATTCTCTGCTTTGTGGGCTCTTGGGAAATTACTCCAGCAGTTGGCACAGTCAGAAATAAAAAGTTCCTTGTGCTGTTCTATTTGTTTCCATACCCAATGGACACCAGTGCTCTCATTTTCACACATATGCCTGTAAAAATTGCATCATTTCTACAGAGGCTGTGGAAAAAAAAGGGACGGGACACAAGGAGAAGTTTGGAGAACTTGTAGGGGAGCATCAATAAAACTGATTGAGGTTTTTGAACTGCTATTGCTGGAAAAAGCTCTTCTGACACTTACTCCAACTAATTTTCTCAGTTGTTTCCACCAAACTTGTAACTAGAAACCTTCACAAGTTCAATGGGGAAGATCCTTCTAGATTCAGGGTGGTTTCTACTCACATATCAACCCCCATAACTCTGAAACTGAACAGGAAAACTGTTTATTGCCTATACTAGTCTAGTAGTCTAATAACTTTCAAAGTCTCCCTCCTCTATGCCAACATCTTAACTGACTTCCTATGACAGTAGGAGTAAAGAGCTTATAGGAACCTGATATGTGAAAAAACCTGTCCTTTCTGAGTCACAAGTGAACTTTAGACCATTTTTTCACTGATGTTTATTTCATTTTTTTTTCCACTGCTTTTCCAAGTTTTGAAATTAAAGCAAAATCTTTAAAAAGCAACTTGCTATGTATTCTTACAATGATCTATGTAAATGTTACTGGAACTGGAAAATGTACATGCTTTTATTGTTACTAGCCTTCATTCATTTCCATGGTTAAAATAATAAGTATCTGCATAATGAATAGTCCAGCAGAAATTAGATTCCCTCCAAAGTTATTTATTTCTAGTTTATTTATCATTCAGATTATCATAATCCACAGTAACAATTTCAGTTCTTAATATCAATTTTAATATCTGGCACTACTTTCCTATTAATTGTAATTGGAATGACGTTCTAAGGACTGCATGTAGGAGTAGCATAACAAAAATACTAACAGCAGCATGAATTCCATTTGTACTTGATTTCTAAACAAATTATTTGCAATAATATGCAAATTCATATTTGCATATTTGATATATATATATATATCACTTTTCCTGATATATTTTTAGCAAGTGGCTGTAATAAATAATAATAATAATAATAATAATAATAATAATAATAATAATAATAATAATAATAATAGCTTTCTAGCTACCTAAGGAAATATTCAGGCATTTGCTTTTTTAGACTTTTAGCTGTTTCCTTTAGTAACACTGAAAAGTGTTTTTCTATATAGTATGCAAATTTAAAGAAAAATGCGTTGGCAGAGCTAGACCTTTGGATTACTTGAATATTTCAGGAAGATAATTCCCCCACAGCACAGATTTTCTCTGTTTAGAAACATATTATATATATTTCTCCTTTCCAAT